AATATATATATAAGTTTATTTATAATAATAACTTAATTTATATAGAATAGATGAAATGAATTCATTAGAAGGAAATCATTCAATCCAAAAGTTGAATTTTTTTCTTTCAATCGCGGTAAACATTTCTATCATGATTTCGTATTTAATAAATCGAAAAATAGGAATGATCTATATTATTCGTATACGAAAGAGAAGATAATAGCTAAATATAGAAATACAACAAATATATTATATATAAATAAACAGTATATAATTCGTATCTACGATGCTTTAAATCATAATTCATATAATTATATCATATCACTCATGATTCGTATAATTTTCCATCGAAATCATTAAGATATAAAATCATAAAATATAATAAGCGGAAATTTCTTATCTAATGATAAAGCTTGCAAAATTGTTATGAATATAATTATAAATTTTTATTAATTATAGAAACAGAAAAAATCTATACAAATATATTTTCTCAGAATATACTTTAGTAAAGTAGTATAATATTATTTCAAAGAAAAAAAAAATAAGTATAATATATCAAAAAATATTGATAATTTTAATTTATTAAATAAATTATCAAAAATCTTATATCTTATATCTTATGGAAAATTTTTTGCAGAAATTATAAGAGAGTAACCAAGAAATATAATATTATTTTTAACAAATATGATAATTTAAAAATTTTAGGAAAATTAAAAATCTAGTTAATAGATGGTTAATAATACATTTAAATTAATTTTTAGTTTTTATAAACAATTATAGATCATATATAATAATATTGAATAGAAAAATTAAACTCTTTTTTTGGTATATGCACTTTTGTCATCGAAATGATAGAAAATTTATGAATTATTATATATTAAAATTATTAGCTTCTGAATTAGGCATTGTATTAAAACCACAATTTGTTATTATGGATTTAGAAAAACTGTTATAAATGCAGTCGAATTTTCATCGACAAAAATAAAAAATTATTTTTTCATTTATGTCAAAAACTATATAGAAAAATTATAAACAATGATTCAGTAAAAAAAAACAATGTATAAAAAACTTATATAAATATTGCATATTTGACATTTTTGTCAAATTCACATTTAATGACTTAAAAAATTTACTTTCTTTTGAAGCTAATATCATTGTGAAGTGGTTTAATAAATATTATATAAATGGCAGCGTTAAACATAATGCAACATTAATGATTCGGTCTACTTTTTTTATCGGAAATATAGTCGGTCTATAATAATGATTCGTATAATTTTCCATATACTTAAAATTTTAAAGAAGTTTGGTACTGACATTGGAAATATATAATTGATCACAATAATGCTTATTATTATTCAAAATTATAATTGAAATTTAAAAAGAAAATGGAGATAATGTTGATAATGGAGATAATGTTCTTAAAAAATTATCATTATCACACAACGAAAAAAGAAAAAAAAGAAGATTGTGTACAAGAAAATAAGATTCAACAAATAATACAAAATAATACAAAATTAGATATACAAAGAAATGAATTTTATAAAAATATTAACACATATATTATATTTTTATAATACAAATTATATTATATTATATTTACTTATATTTATATAACATATATATAATATATTAATTAATAAAGTTATTTAAACTTTTAGAATTTACTTCATTATTTTTTTTTAAATATGGAAATGAATATGTAAATAAAAACACGTTTACTAATACTAATTAATAATAAACGTAATAATTGTCGATAAAAGATAAGTTCGATAAAATAAATATCGGTAAAATGACTATTGATGATTTTATGTATCGATAAATAAATAAATATTGTCGGCGAATTCGATAAAATCAATAAATTCGATAAATTCGGTGAAATCGTATTAAAAACGTTGTCAATGAAATAATTATAATAATTGTAATAATTAATAATTAAAGATAAGTCAAGTATTTCATTATCTATTTCATTATTGATTGATTGATTTCTCTGAATTTTTTGTAAATTATATTAATATTCAAAATTATGTCAATATTATAGTATTATATCATCGAATTTATTTTAATTTTATTTATTATGATATTATATAAAAATATATAATTCCATTTAATTCCACTTAAATGATTTTGATATTATATTATAAACAATAAGCAAAATTTAAAATGTCTAAATAAAACATCTTATAATCGGTGCAGTAAAAATCAAAAAAAGATTATTATTCATGATCAATACAAATTAGAAGTATAAAATATAATCAAAATAATTTACTTTTATTATTTCATCAAGAATCACTATTTAATATATATACATAAAATTTTAAAAGATACATAATGCATGATAAGTGGATCATTTTAATTTTAAAAAATGATTATGTCTAAATAATATTATATTTCATAAACATATTTCATAAACATACCTAATTTAGGATCAAAATCCAAAAGACTGTCTGGCATATTCGGTTGATTGTAACACGAAATATCATCCCAAACAACGATGTTCATCAATGGTGAAACGTGTTGTTGAATAAAGTCATTATCAGTAGAAATCATCAAGATGAAGAATATGACAGCGCAGAAAAAGCAAAGGAGCAATCTCTTCTTCATTTTCCTTGAATGACTGTTGTTGATTCCAACAGTCCTACCAGTTATAATTGTATCAAAATTCAAATTTGAATCTTCTCAAACGTATATATTTTTTTATATTTTCAAATATTATATTAATATTAAATATAGAAAAATTTCTCATAATCATATTTTGAATTCTTTATTGAATTAAAAAATATGCTTCTTTATCGCATTTATCGCATTATATTTACATATGGTTTTATACAATTAGCATGTATAAATTATATATACAGGATAAATTCTAAAAATCTAAATAATAAAATCTTATTCGCAATCTAATTAATGTTTTATATAATCGAATTTCTGTTGTTTTATAATATAAAAATTCTTCAATATTTTCGAAATCTAATATATAAAATAATTGAATGAATCTAAGTGTTTTATGAAATTTCTCATTAAAAATGATGATTAAAAGAATTGAAAAAGCGATATTAAAATTGAAATTCGAATCTTTGCAAATTTGATTTTTGAAAATAATTCTTCAATTTTAAGAAGATTGTTTGATATCATTCTAAATTTTTACGGTTATCAAAAAATTTGTGATATTGGACATATTGTTTAATTCTAAAATAATTGTAAAAATTCTATTTGAGTTCGATTTGGTTTTTCTTTTGTAAATTCATTGAAATATATTGGGTATAATATCATTTAAACAATGATTGAACTATGATATTTATTGTGATATGAATTCTTAAAAAAAATTTTAATTTTATATGATGCTTACACATAAATTGATTATGTTACACATAATCTTTATTTTTTGATTATTTTTATTGATGTGTAGAATGGACAATATTTTTACAAAACTTATTTATAATATATATTCGCTGTTGATTCAAAAAATTTTCAAAAAATTAATTTAAAAGTTTCACAAAATTTATTTATAATATATATTCGCTATTATCTTATCTTATTTAATTTATGATATACATTGTAATTTATTGTACTTTGAACATAAATTTGCATATTTTAAACAATCTTTATAAAATAAGTAAAAATATATATATCCTATATTATATAATTCTGAATTCAATTCTAATACGATTAAATGTCTTTAAAAACTGTCTTTATTTTATTATTTTTTTATTTTCGACTGTAATTTAACATTAATTTAATAATTTAATAAATTCATTAATTTTTATAATAAGATATATTTTTAGTTTTAAATTAAATTTTATAATTAATTAATTAAATTTAATAATTATTACTAAATTTTATCT